AGCTAAAACGCTACAAGTCGATAGGCCAGTCAGTAAATGGCTCTGAAGCACACGTAACCGGATAAAATTTGACTCTTGATTCTACTATCAACGAGGAAAAGAAAAAGGAAAGTTTGTCACCGTTGGAATGTCGGTGTTTCTTCACCTTCATGATTGCGTCATTCCTGACGTCCTTCTTTTCAAGAAGATTATGGTGCGGTCCTGATATCTGTTTTAATGCCGTCAGCTAGGAATGCTTTATTTCTTAAGGTCGAGTCAACAGATATGTGGCAAACGTAGCATGTAGTCTTCTGTTTCTTTCCCACCTAGTGGTACTCATTTATCAACCTTGAATGGAAGAAAAGCAAGTGACACCGACGGGAGCTTGAGTTCGAGACTTATTGGTTCTAAGTTCGACGTTGTACTGATCGAGTGATCTCGATCTGAAAGTAATGAGTGACAAGTTCCTTGCTCAAAGGAATTCGTAAATAAGTTGCAGTGATTGCTCTCGAGCGGAATCGAGCACGACATCTACGGAGTTCGAACTAGACCTAGATACCGTGTCACCATGCCACGTACCATAACCAACAAGCAACTAATGCTCGATATCTGAAATTCCAGGCAGCGTGTTTCATTGCAAGGTAACCCATGTCGTTATGAATGTTATTCTAAGATGAAAGTCCACTAGTTTCACAGACCAGTTATCGATTTGGTCACGGATAATCTTCATCCTCAAAAGAAATACTTCTAATAATTGGCAACACTGTTAAATTAATCTGGTTATGTTCACGAGTGTATAAAACATGGATGACGAGCTACCGCGAATCAATAATTTAGGTGAAGCACGCACTGAGCATTTCAATAGTCAATCCTATGTCATGTTATGTCACTTTGATTATTAAACGACAATATCACAAAGAACAACGTCGAGTTTAATTTTTGAGTAACCACTACCATGTTGGATTCAGATATCACGGCACACAAGATCAAGGCAACAGAGATTTGACAGAGAATAATAAGAAAGCCACAAGCAAGAAACCTCTGGAGGAAGTGGTGGTTTGACAACAAGGCAGCGGTATTCTATCAAATTAAACGAGGCATAGGGCATCGCGAGTCTCAGCAAACACGGCAAGCTTTGGATGCAGCAAATACACATGAAGATGGAATTTTCGACAGTCAATCGTACGCAATGTAACCAATTATAAAGTAATTGCACCGCTTGGACCGTTCTTACACAGCTGAACTGAGGACATTGCCTAAAAGTTGAAAAGACATACAATTTTGACGGTCGTTCGTTACCGAGAACTTTTGACGGATAATCGCTAGTTGGTAATAATCGTATTCCAAAAAAAAACAGCCGTTTCGAATAGCCATCAGAGAATAAATTAATACCACTGCAACAGAGTACTTAACTCAGCGGGAGAAGGCCAAGAGTGTTCGTCTCTGGTACAACAGCACCGAATTTCTACTTTACGCAGACGCCAATTTGGACAGCCAAGAAGTTGAGTCAAAGCATGCAATGAACAACGTGGACGAAAATCTCAGACGCTCTGGTATGACTAGACCAGAATACGGTTATGCAGATATGGTTCACATGCTGGTCGTACTCAAACCCGAACACCCGAAAAAAATGGAGTAAATTCTTGGCTGAAGAGAATTAGCCCTTCACAAAAACGTGTACTTTGTGCATGATTCAAGCCAGAAATTCTGATATACAAAAGGGCAAGAGCCATCTATATGTATCAGTGCCACTCCTCCCACACACACATTAATATCGAGCTGAATCTGCAAATGTCAGCTAAAGAAAGAACTGCACATGAGGGTTGACAGATCTCTCAACGACATGAAAAACACTTGCATGCTAAGAAAAAAACGATTACTTGCCCAGAAAAACGGAGAAAAGTCATCCAGTCGCCCATTATTCAGAAGGGGCCAGGGTTAACCAAACAGCCTAAGCTGAATAGCAATTTTAAGATACGTTGCAATATGGACAAACTTCAAACTAGACTCCGCGACGTTCAAAAATATAACGAGAATGTCTAGTAAAAATGCTTCGAAATTAAGATACGTTATTGCGAGTTTTTGCAATGGTAATAGCCAAAAATTTATTACGAAACGAGTGTTTCAAAGCGGTTACTTAACTACACGTAGAGGATTTAACTCGTCGGCTTGCTTTCATCTTTTCAGCTATTTAATTGTCGGTAAAAACTTACATTGCATCTAACTGTCATTCATTACACTAAAACTCAGACTCAGAGCCGGTTAATAGAGAGAGTTTATCAAAACTGAAAGCCACTTAAGATGCATAATGTCCAACCATCACAATGTCTCACGTTTCGATGTATTTCATCAATCCACTTCATCGACGAAAGAAACCTCTTCCCATCGACAACTGTTGTCGGTTTAGTTTCGTCTGCCATGAGATGTCCTGGTCAACGGTTTCTGGTAACCAAGTTTCGTCTGCGCAACCAAAAAGGCTTCGTTGCTTCTTACAGACGATCCAACCATGTCCAAGTTCTCCTCTCTCTGCGGTCCTTTATTGTCTATGATGTCATACCTAACGTCAAGAAAGGATCGCTTCTGATGCGGGAGGGCATTTTAAATGATCTCCAGCATTTACCAGAGAC